CAATGCAAGGGCCATGTGCAGAGTACACAGCGCTAGGGGAGGCCACCGGGGTCTGCGGGTTCCATGGGGGGCTCTGACCTAGGGGGACTAAGTGGCGGGCCCGGCCCAGGGCAGTGCGGGCGCGAAGCAGCCGGCGGGAGGCGCTGCGGGGCGCAGCTCGGCGGGGGCGGGCGGGGCGGGCGCGGCGCGTTGCTGACTCACCGGCTATAAATAGCCCGGGATATAGGAGTCGCCGCGCCGAGCGCCGCCCTCAGTCCCCGCGACCGCGGGCTCCGAGCAGCGTTCCCCGACCCAGCCTGGGGCTCCGGTCCTGATCTGGCCCACACCGGATCCCAGCATCCAGTCGATTGCTTCCCCCGCACCCCCATCTGCTTGTCCCCGGCGCGACCTCGCGCGCGCTGGGCCAGCAGCTGCAGCACATCTGGCGGGGCCGAGCAACCCCCTCCCCACCTGCCCGCCGCCCCGCACTCACCCGCCGCTCGTACTGCGCGTTGAGGTCGTCCGCCATCCGCCGCAGCTGGGCCCCGATCTCCCGGGCCCACTCCTCCTCCTCCACACGCACTCCCGGGGCAGCTTGGGTGGGGCCTCCCGCCAGGGCCTCCGGGGCGCTGGGCACGGGCGACTCTAGGTGCTGCTGGGCTGGTGACAGCGAGGGCTGAGGACCTGGGAGAGGGGAAAGGGGCGTGGTCACCATCCACCCAGTCTGCTCGGAGGCGTCCCGGAGCCACCTAGGTAGCTACACTGTGCTTTCTCCTTCGCTTCTCCGCTCAGTCATAGAAATTCCTTTTTCCCACTCTTCCCCGCAGGCCCTAGAAAGGAGTCTTGAGGAAGTGGCTCTGCGGTCACCTGGATGGCCAGTTACCCAAAAGCTTATATCAATGTGGAAGTCCCTCAACTTATCCGACCTAAGTACCCCTATTCTAATACAGGGTCAAATCCAGCCTGCTCTATTTGACAGACGGGGAAACTGAGGTTCCACCCAGATTAGTGACCAAGGTCACACGGGGATACCGCCACTGACCCCACCCAATCACTACCCTCAGGTCTCCAGCTCACTCCTGCCCAACCACAGTGAGGCCACACCCCCGGATGTGGCATTGGCTTGATGACCAGAAGGCCAGACTGGGGCTAACCCAAGAGGAATAGGGTTTGGGTGGGGGTGGCAGGGGTACTGGGCTAGACTTTGTGCCCCACTCCCTCTAGAGCTCATCCTTGTCCCTCCGTGCTGTCACATCAGGTCCTGGGCCTCAGTTTTTATTCTCTCTGAATCTAGTCCTGAAACGCAGGGAAAGTTGGAAAGTTTTTCTCTCTTTAACCTCTGGGCTCAGGAGTCTGTATGGGGAGGTGGGGGGCGGAGAGAAAAGGAAACCCAGATGGCCATTCCCCGTAGCCGGGCACCACAGGGTTAACAGCCCATCAGGCGAGGGACCTTTAACCCTTCCCCTCCCTGAGCCTCACCCTCTCCCCGAGAGGGACTTTCCCAACACAATGGCCCCTCCCCCTCTCCTTCCTCCCCGGGGACTGCGGACGAACGCTGCCAGTGCCAAAGAGATTCAAATAAAAGGGTAAAGCCTCCGACCCCTCCCCAAAGTCCTGAGGTGACAGTCCTCCCACTGGCCTCACGCCTTCCCACTGCAATCCTCATAGGGGGTGGAGGAGCCCAGGGACCCGGGCTGGGGGGAGGGGAGCTGAGAAACAGCTGTTGCCCGAGGTCCGGGAAGGGACGTGGGCTACAACTCGGGGGACTGCAGTCAGATTCTAAGAGGGACTTCCCACTCGACCTGGCCCCTCCATCCTTGTCTCCCACTCTGTCTTCCTGGTTCTTGCTACACAAAGACCACACTGGCCACACCCTCCCGGTGGCCCCACTCAGCTCCATTCCCGCTTCAGCTTCCCCGGGTGCAGGGCGGGCACTCACCGTCCGGACGCGGGCCTCGGGGCCGGCTGCGGTGACCCCCAGGCCAGCGGGGGCCCCCCAGGGCGGCGGTGACGGCAGGCGGGGCGGTGGGGGCGCAGAGGTAGGCGGCCGGCAGCAAGGCAGGGGCAGCAGGGGCGGCGGGCAGGCCGGCCTCGCAGAGGCCGCAGGATACAGCGGAGGGCATCAGTCGGCCGAGCGGGAAGGGGCGCGGGCTGTCGCGGGCTAGACCCTCTACGGGCTCCGGAGAGCTGCCCTCCTGGCGTGCGCGGGCCATGGCGCTCCCTGGAGCCTGCGGGACACGGCGGGAGGTCAGCCGGGCGACTGCAGAGGGGCTACAGGACCCCACTTCGCAGACACCCCGCCTGGAGGTCACTGGCACCCAGGAGGGGATGACCCCAGGGACAGCCTGGCCGGGACACCTGGTGATGGGCTCACCGGGACGGAGGTGAGGGGCGCACAGACTGCGTCTGGGGCTCGTAGCAAAGCCCACCAGGAAAACTGCCTGGGACTCTCAGGGCTTGGGCCACGGAGAACTTTCTCAACAGAGAAGAGCGCAGTAGGGGTGCTGGGGCTCCCAGGATACACCTTGCTGTCACCGAACCCAAGTGTGTGTGTAATGGGAAGACACCAGAGAACTCATAGAAGTGTCCAACTTCACGGCCCCTCCCGCCCCAGTGAGGTGGCTCACTCAGAAACACATTGGGGACACACTTGGACATGCACACACAGCCATCTACAGCCCTCCACAAATATTTACATCAGTCTCACACGGACCCGCTGCTGACATGCCCGCGCTCACCCACCCACAATGCAGCCGTCACACACTGAAGCACAGCAGACTCAAGACTGCAACGTGTTTCTCCTGCATACACACAGACAACCCGAAGATACAAGGCACCCCTACTACACCTTAGCACACGCACCACCATCATCTCAAAACATACCTGAATGTGCACCCCCCCCAACTTTGAGCTTGTGAGCTATGTGTGGCTGGGACACAACAGCCACGCATAGACACATGTCATCACAACCAGATACATCATCCCCCCTCGCAGGCGGGCCAGCCACATGGGGAGGCACTAGCCGCAGCTGGTAGAAGCCATCCGTCCAGCCTCTCCTCTCAGCCCCAATACACCACAGCCAAATGTCAGCCCCAGAAAACACACACACGCACACACACACACACACACAGAGCGCAGCAGCACACACACCTAATGCAGAGACAGAAAACACTGGCCTCACGTGACTGGTATAAACACTACATAGAGAGAGAACCACATGACACATAAGAGCCACGGATCACAGAGACAAACCCCTCAGACCCAAAACACACACGCGCGCGCGCACACACACACACACACACACACACACACTGCATGCAGAGAGAGAGAGAGAGAGAGAGAGAGAGAGAGAGAGAGAGAGAGAGAGACTGAGAGCCCCCCCCCCCCAGCCCTTCATGCTCCGTGTGCCTTGTGCCTCTTGCCACTCAGAAGTCACCAGTGCGATCGAGCACTGGGTGGCATCCCATCCCAAAAGCTGGGTGCAGCAGATGCTTGTCTTGGAGACACCCAGAGACAGCACGCGCGCGCGCGCGCTCACACACACACACACGCAGCGCACACTCGGGCGAGACCCCTGCACAGAAACACAGCTCACTCCAGCGACACACAAACACAGCTCAAGTGCCCCCATCGTCCGCACCACCACCACTAGCACTACCGGGCAAGCGACAGATCCCCCCCTATTCACCCCTTAAGAGCACACGTATACAACTCTGGTTGTGGGGTTGGCCACCCACACCCGTAAACGGACAGGTGCACCCCACCCCACAGACACGCGGGCAAGGACTCACGCAGACACCCCTCCGGGTGACAAACGCCAACATCTCCGTGTAGGGATACAAACTCGGGAGCCAGACACGAGCACACACACCCAGGCGAGACACCTGCAGATCCACAGCCCCGCACGCGCGGTCCCCGCCGCCCCTCCGCTGTCACAGCCCCCTCCACGCCGCCACGTGCGCCCGCCCCGCCCGCCCAGCGCGCGCGGGGCCAATAACCGGCTGTTGCTGGGGCGCAGCCCCCGCCCGCGGGAGCCACAGCCTCCGCCGCCCCCTGTCGCCGCCCCCGGCGGGCGCGCGCTCTGGGTGTGGCCGATCCTCGGTGCCACCCCCCACCCCGACCCTCCCGCAGTGGGACTCGGGGGACTCGAGCGAGCCCGGGGCCACGCTCCTCCCCGGTCTCGCTAGCCACCAGGGGGCGCGGGCGAGCCCGAACCCCATTGTTTGTAAACAAACCCGCCAGACCGCTGTGGCACCTGTGCGCCCAGACGGGGCGCCCCGAGTCCCAGGTGCTTCCTTTCCGCCCGCCCGGCCCAGCCTTAGTCCCAGTGATGAAAGCTGGGGCCCAAGCTTCGGGAATTCAAGACGACCGCCCTCTCTGCCCGTGCACCCCGTCACCTCCTCCAGGGAGCCCTCCTGGCCTGGCTGCTCGTAAGCAGCTTCAGGGATCGGGGTGCGCACTCACCCCGGGGGCATGAACACGCCGGAGGAAGGAGGCGATGGGGTGGCGGGCGGCTGCCTTCTGGAGGGCTCGCCCGCCGAGTTGCTTGCTACTACTGAGGCTCCCTGCTGCTGCTGCTGCTGCTGCTGCTGCTCTAACTGTAGTGGCTGCTGCTGCTGCTTCTGGAGCGTTCGTGCCTGCGTCCGGATCACCGCTGCTGCTTGCTCGCTGGTGTCGCCGCCGCCTCCTGGGCGCCCCGCTCGCATGTGGTTCTGCGCAGCGTCTCTGGCCTCCCGGCAGATCCCCAGGCCCCGCTGGCTTGGCGGCCGCCCCGCCCCGCTCCGCCTCTCGCTGGCTCCCACGCCCCGCCCCCGCGTGACGCCAGGGCCCCGCCCGCGGCCGGGGACAAGTTGGGGCTTGCCGGCGGGCGCCGCGCCCCCTACCTCCGCGCGGGGGGTTTCCCGGCAGCCAGGGGGGCGGGGCGAGGCCTGGTCCCGGCAGGAGGAGCACCGTGGGGACAGCCCAGACCTAGGGTGTCCAGACACCCGCTTGACACACTGACACACTGACTGGGACCCACACCCGAGGAGTACGCTCAGACTAACGGACTGGCACATCAGGGTGTCCTGAGTCACTGCTGACACAGGGACACAAAGTCAGACCAGAGGCACACCGGGACAAGGGCCTGGGCACACAAGCTCACAGAGTCCCAGACTTCCAGATTATCTTCCTTGTTGGCTCACAGGGACACACACAGACAGTGACAACCCCACACATAGTTGCACAAACAATATTCAAGCAGGCTCAGCCTCACAAACCAGTGTGTCCCCAGATGCACTTCACTCAACCTGACACCCCTTCTCAGAACAACTCCCTAACAGGTTCAGAAGGACACACACACACCCCGATCCAAAATCACACTCCCGGGGCTGGCACCCGCAAGAGCTGGCAAAGCATACCCACGAGATTCCTCTAGCTGACCCTACTAAACACACCAGTCACATACAGAAGAAACTGACCCCTGACCTGTGCTCACAAAAGTCACTCCGGGGACCGGTTCCCGCTAAGTGGCTCGATGGTGGGATACCCTCGTGAACATGAACACCCGGCCCGGCGTAATACCAATCTGGCACTGGACACGTGGGGCAGAGGCAGCCCTGAGCTCTTGGCACTGACATGCCCGGGCAGCCCCCTGCACCCTGTTTCACCAAGTCTGTTGTTTCTGTTTCCTTTCCCTTTTCTAAAAGTCATTTCCCTTCCCTTCTGAAACTGTGACCTCCCCTACCAAGCCTTGGACATCGGACTCTCATGGCACCTGACACACTCTCTGTGTCACCCAAACTGTCACCTTACCTATGTACTGGGCTGCCTGTGAAAGGGTGTCACAGCCATGTGAGGGACACTTGTAAAAAAAAAAAAAAACAAAAAACAACAACAACCATGGTCACTTACACCTGTCTTCCCAGCACTTCTGGAGGATGAAGCAGACTGTGGTTGCAGGGTTGGAGTCTGTCTGAGTTATACAGTGAGTTCCAGGCCCACTTTTTTTTTTTTTTTTTTTTTTTTGGTTTTTCGAGACAGGGTTTCTCTGTATAGCCCTGGCTGTCCTGGAACTCACTCTGTAGACCAGGCTGGCCTCGAACTCAGAAATCCGCCTGCCTCTGCCTCCCAAGTGCTGGGATTAAAGGCCTGCGCCACCACCGCCCGGCCCAGGCCCACTTTTGAGCACAGCACGTGATCTTTAAAAACAAAACAAAACAAAAAACGAAGCAAGTGCTGGAGACAGCTCAGTGGTTAAGAGTGCTTACAGTTCTTCCCAAGGACCTGGGTTCTGTTCCCCGTACCTACATCAGGTGGCTGGCAATGGCATTGTTACCCCAGCTCCAGGGAATCTGATGCTGCTGGCCTCCTTAGACACCTGTCTGTGTCCACATACTCACACGCGCACACACAATTAAAAATAAAATAACCCACAACTGGACAATCTGCAGACAGCGAGAGACCTTGAAGCATCCCGCTGTAAATTGGATGCTGTCATCAGACTCCTTTCCTCAGGGTTCAGGGATCCATGCAGAAGAGGAGGGGGAAAAGATCACCAGAGGTGGCGGATGACTCCAAGAAAAGTGTCTTCCAGACACAACAGGGCTGTGACACTGCCTGTGTGCACACACAAACATCACCTGTACAGGTTCAAAACAGACAAAATCCCAGCACTGAGTAGGATAGGACACAAGGTCCCACTTCTAGCCCAGAAGCTATGTGTAATTGATTCCTTCTGTGTGGAAGGACAATCAGATCTCTCCAGTGGAGTGTCACTGGACTTATATACTCCAAGACGGGTCTGACACACACACCCTCAGTAGCTGGCCGACCCAAAACAGACTGCATGCTGTTTCATGTGCTTTTTTCCAGAGTTTAGTTTTGGTTTGGTCTTTTTGGTTTTCTGTTTGTTTTGATTTTTGGTTTTGGAGAGTTTTGTTTTGCTGAGGCATAGAGAGAAAGAACATGAAGTTGGGTAGGTAGAGAGGTGGGCAGGATCTGGGAGGAACTGGGGAAGGGATAAGAACATGATCAAAACATATTGTATGGAAAAAAATTAATAGATAGAAAAGTAGATAGGTATGGTGGCACATGCCCTTAATCTCAGCCCTTGGAGCAGAGGTGGGGCGATCTCTGTGAATTTGAAGCAAGCCTTATCGATACAGCAGCTTCTAGACCAGACAGCTACATAGAAAAAATCCTGTCTCAGAATAATCTAAAAAAAAAAAAAAAAAAAAAAAGGCACCAAAGAAGAGGGGACCAGGAACTTAGATCTCCAAGCAAACCAGGGGTCAGGATCTCATGAGAAATCTTCCTATTTTGAACACCTGAGACTTTAGGATTCCCACCCTCAACTTCACGTCTTCCATCTTCGTTCTTTCTCCCAAGGTTTTGTGGTACTTTGGTCTAGTGCAGACTACAGGGTGTGGTCCCGTGGGATGTCACTGCAATCATGGACAACCGCCACCCGAGCCTCCCACCTCCCCAGCTTACGTCACACTCATTGACAAATGTTTATAGGCAATAAAGTACACCCTTTCCTTTGGGGGACAAGAGGTTCGATGAGTCTGAGTATACATTTACCAGATACGGTGGCCCAAGCCTGTGATCTCGGCCTGGGGCCGCCGAGACGACAACAGAGAGAAGAGGGCCTGCGTGGGGAGACCATGGTTCAAAAACAAAGAGAACACTTGCCTAGCAAACAAGAGGCCCCGCCCCACCCCCCGAACCCCCCCCCACCCCCCGGAACCCCACCCCTCCAAAATAAAAACCAACTACAAAATAATAAAACCAACCCCCCCCCCCCCCCCCATGTATGTGCTGAGGATACAGCTCAGCTAGGAAAGGGCTTGCCTAGCATGCATAAAGCCATGGTTCTGGTCCTCAGCAATGATGGAGTCTGCCTGTAACCCCCAGCCCTTGCAAGGCTGGGGTAAGGCCGTTGACAGTTACACTGGGGATTTAAGTCACACCTAGGATGTATGAGACCCTACCACAAACCAGCAAGCCACAGTGAATGCACAACAGATACACAAAAGTGTATTTCTTTTTTCCCCTGACACTGGGTTTCTCTGTGTATCCCTGGCTGTCCTGAAACTCACTTTGTAGCCCAGGCTGGCCTCAAACTCACAAGAAATCCTTCTGCCTCTGCCTCCCGAGTGCTGGAATTAAAGGCATGTGCCACTACAGCCCAGCTGTCAAGGTGTATTTCTCAGTGTAGGTCAAGTTCAGAGGCACCAGCCCAGCCCTGCTTTTGACTTACTAAATGAGATGCATCTTCAAGTCATTAAACGCAGCGTCTGACATGAAGGCCTAATCAGTATTTGCTGTTGTCATTAGTTGAACTAATTTGGAACAGTGTGTTTGCTCAGGGCCTCACTGGGAAGTGGCTGGCAGGGAGACAAGCCTTCTGCCTATAGTTCCTCCGGGGTCCCTCTTTCACCATCCAGTGACCTCCAGACACTAAAGGCAGATCAGACTGGCTGGAATGTTCCTCTAAGAAGGAATTAAGTATGAAACGGGTGGGGAGTCTGACTGGGTAGGGACGCTGTGTAGAGCCAGGTCTCAGCCCCTCTCAGAAGCATCTCCAACATCCTCCATCCTGTCACTCCAAACCCGGGGGTTAATGTCAAGAGCCAACATCAAATAAAGCAAAGGGGTAAAGGCCAGCCTAGTATTTCAGACCGGTCATCCCAGCTACTCAGGAGGGCGAGGTGGGAGGATGGAAAAATAAATCAGCATCTTACTGATGTCCCAAAATAAAAAAGTAGAATGAGGGCTGCAGGTGTAACTCAGCTGGGGCCATCAAGAAGGCTAGGCAGAGCCGGGCAGTGGTGGCACATACCTTTAATCCCAGCACTTGAGAAGAAGAGGCAGGGGAATCTGTGAGTTTGGGGCTAGCCTGGTCTTCAAAATGAGTTTCAGGAAAGCCAAGGTTACATAGAGAGGCCCTGTCTATAGATAAATAAATTAAATAAATAAATAAAATCAAGATGGTTGATCAGATAGAGACCCACAGGCAAGGCCAGCAATTTGGGTTAGATACCTGGGACCCACATAAAAGCGAGAACCAGCTACTATGAGTTTTCTTTCCTTTTTTTTTTTTCCTAATGTAACTGTTTTTAAAATTATTTGCTTTGACTTTACATGTATTGGCGTTTTGCCTACATGTATGTCTATAAAAGTGCTGGATCCCCCGAGACTGCAG